GAACATGTTTGCAAACAATGTCAACGGAAGTTTGAAGTTGGCAAAAAAGTCAGTTAGACGAGAAAACAGATCACACATTCCAGAATATTGACTCAAGTAGCAGGGCTTCGGTACGTGCCTGGAAGGTGAAAGGTCAAACTTCACACAAGTAGTTAGAGTGGCTGTGTGTTTGTGTATAAACGTGACTCGTCAACAGACAGGGGCTTGGTGGGCAAATGTGACCAGATAAAAAAAAAATAGACCTTCTCCCTAACAGATATTTTATCACCTCCAGATCCTGGTCTGACAGTTGAAGGTCTAAATATTTAATTTCGGAAGCTTGTCATTTTATTCCAGTTTCAATACTCCTCTATTCAATATCCTGCTATGGCAAAGCACTAGTAAATTGGTTACAGTAAAAATCTTGAGATCATGAATTTTTCCTGTGGCAACTAACAGTTGCGAGTCTTGAACTCTCACTCAGTCACTGGGGAAAAAAGATTGGAGCTTTTGAATTGAAATATTATAGAAAAATTCTTAGAATACCATGGATGAGGAAGAGGAAAAACATCGACATTCTGAATGAGTTGAATACCAGAGAGAACTGGCTCATAAACAGCATCGTGTCCCGAAAGTTAAAGTATTTTGGCCACATTAAGCGTCACTGTGGCTTGGAAAAGATGGTGACGGAAGGTGCATTTTGTGGAAGGCGAGGCATGGGGCCGACCACCGCGAAGATGGATAAAAGACATTGAAGATGCATTGGCATTGAAAGCACAAAGGGCTGGAGAGCTGGCTAGAAAAAGGAATACTTTCAGACGTGCAGTGAAGAGAGCGACGTTCTGTAAGGGACTTGCTGATTGATGAGTCAATATCAAGCATCAAAACTTCAACATTGCAGGGACCTATGTGGGTTATGAGTTATGATCTGGGTTATCTTCATGACACTACGGACATGTTCATAGGTGCTCAGTTTCCACCTTCAGCATACACATCAGTGTCCCGCGATTTAATAGTCCTAGTCCTATGTTCGTTGACAACACTTTTCGTGCGTGCGCTGTGCTTCTTGTGCGTGGCTGTGTCGATCACGTGGGTATAGTGTCAATGAGATGCATGTGTGCGAGGCAACGAAAGAGTGTATTATCAGGCTAGTTATCATCACAGCCCCGTAACAATTCGTGTCGTTGAATCACCAGTTGTTGTTGGCCGTCTGCTCAGCTTTATCCACTTTTAGCGATCAGATTCAATGGACTTCAAAGTTGCTTGTACAGCCAGTCAACTTCTGTATCCAGATTTTTCTTGGTCTGTCTCTTCTCCTCTTTCCCTCTACGGCTACAAGTTGGATAGCTGGGGAAACACTCGTGGAGACATTCTTCTTCTTTTCTTTACTCCTGGAGTGCCTCACGGTGCCAGGGCAGGAAGATATCTCTGGAACGCACCTTTCTGTTCGCATCGTATGAAGTACCATTTATCAACAACAGCTAATAGAAGACACCACGTAAGATGAAATAATATGCGTGAGAATGTGTGAACGAGAAATTAGGTATGGATCCGGCAAGAAGGGACGTTGAGAAGAAGAGAACGGTGTGTGTATAATTAATCAGTTTGCTAAGGGAACAATTACCGTCTAATACTTTAGATTTTGGCCGCAGTTGGACGTAGCATTTATGGGTTTTCCCGCTATGCTGTGAAGTCGATTCTAAAATCAGTATCATTATCTAATCAATCAATCAAGGAAGTTTAAATGGATGTGGACTTTTCAAAATTGCGATTCGTCCTTCTCTAAAAGTTTTACTCCCACCTGCTTCTATGTCTGTGTTGTGCTCGCTTGCGTCAACCTTCCCACTTCAGTGGGTTTTTGTAATAGTGTTAGTTAAGTTATTTTTCCTGTTTGGCTGAAATTGTCTTTTTTTTGGTCCCTTTCTCTCATTTATATTTCTTTCAGATACTCTAATTTTATTCTTCGTCTTTCCGGAACTGCTGTTTTGTATTGTTTTATTTCTATGACATACGACGTATTCTTATGTATATTTATATATATATAAAACCATATATATATATGTGTGTATGTATATATATATAAATATATATTTATACAGAGACTCAACACGATTTTCTGCTTGTGGCAAAAATTACCCCCGCCTCATTTTTGTCCCAGCCGGAGCGGGGCATATTTTGAATTCTTAGATAGATGCAATTAATAATTTGCTATTTTGCTATTTTGTTTGTACGCAGTGGAGCCAACTGGTAGGTGACAGCACTTGCCTTCTGTACTCTGACTTCAGTCTCTCTATTGAGTCTACAATTCTCTGTAAATGTGCTTCCTAAATATTGGAATTCTAATACTTATTTGGTTGTTGAAACGAACTGAATCTAAACCATCCATGTTGACAGCATGTCTACAGTAAAAAAGTAGAGTAAAGATCCGCTCACACGCCTTTAGGCGCATCGGGTATATGGGAAGCGCCCATATTTTTTCAGACCATCGGCACTAGGTGGGTAATGTGGTCAGCATTACGCCGGCCGTCTTTACTTCCCCAGGACAGCCATCCTGGTACCAATATTAGGCTGGGTAGACCTGCGACGCCCCATACCATGATAAAAATCTGCGCAGCCAGCAGTGGATTTCGATTGCAGTACGTGGAATTACGAGTCGGACTCGCAACGGCAAATATCCAGAAACCATGAGTTGTTAACCATTTGGCTCGGTACTATGGATATCGCAACCCTTTGGCCTTGATTCCATGATTGTTACCGTAAATCGGGGAGAAATGTGGCTTTTATGCCTACCCCCGGCAGTGAGCCCGGACCACAAGGAGTTCGTCATCCGGTCACCGCGATGTCAGGTTTAGCCAACTACGCTATAGAGCCGGGTGACTCGCAACGCATAAGCCACAGACGCCGCCCAGCATGTCTACAGACAACACTGAACCAATAAGAGATATACTATGAGAGAAGTGTGCAGACAGGATCAAATGACAACACGGCAGAGTCTGAGAGGGATTGTGTACTCATGGATAATGCTAGAAATCCATTAGCAAAGAGAAATCTTCCTTCTTGCCTTGCATTCAAGGGGACACAATCGGCCGACATCAAGGTAAGTCACATACAGTTTGTTGTTATCGTTCTTTTACTATTTTCAAATTAAAAAAAAAAAAATTAAAAGACCCTTTTTCACGTCTTTAGGCGAATAGGGCATATAGGACTAGACCTATATATTTTAAATACGTTTGCTGATTACATTTGAAAATTAGTTTTATTTTATTTGCAAATTTTGAGTGAAATTCCCATGATTTTCTGATTCCTTTGTGGGTTTATTAGGAAAATCTAATAAGGACTATTTTCCGGCCCTCTAACCAACATAAACATGAGTAGAACGCTAATAAACACAAGATGAATCCCTAACCTATTACCTTAGCCATCTCCTTGTGAGATACAATTTTTTATTTTTATTTTTTATTTTCAGCCCCAACGTGGCTCTAGCCAGGGGCCGCAATATAGCCCGGCCATAAATTGGCCTAATGGCTGAACGCGGTTTCTGGGACCTCTCTACGAGTGATCCTTATCCACATGGTGGTACTTTGTTTGATCGGGTGTTTATCGCTTGCGTGATGTCGTAGAGGGATCAAATCTACTACTACTACTACTACTACTACTATTAAACCTATTACCCGATACCAACCACAAGGCAGTCATTCTGATTATTAAGATCAACTGACACGGCGCATTAACAACAGCCCACACAGAGGACAGAAAGTCTCCAAACCTTCCCCAAGAAATCGATAAAGTTACTGTAGGGACAGAAGAATAAGATGCGGTCACTTTAAGTTCACAAACATTTGTCATTGCGTTTGGCACCTGCTTTTGTTGTTGTTGCTTTTTCTGTTGTTGAGCTGAGTTGAGTCAAAAATTGACATCACAGCACTCGGGGCATTCCCATGCATGCTCTGTCCTCATCTCCAGCAGCCAGCGCAGGGATCCAATACTGATGGTACCGGTTACAATCTGGTTATATGTCCGTCTTGCCTTTTCTCTAAGTGTAGTGAGCTGGCCAGACCCTCTGGTAACACCCGGGTGCCTCATTCTCTCCGGGCCATAATAGTCTTGTTTCTTCCAGATGTGTACCTGTAGTTGTCTTACTGTCGCCGCTGCTGCTTCTTCTTTTAGTCCATGCCGGGTAGGGTTGGTAGTCTCGCGGCATGGTGTCCGCCCCGAGTGCTAGAGGTTCCGGATTCAATTTCCGGTAAGGGCTGGGATTTTTTTTTAGATGGACTTGGACTTTTAGTAATTCCCCTGGTCTCTGGGTAGTGTGATCGGACGCCTGTGTGCATTGTTGCGCACGTAAACAAATCCCTTGTCGGATGAAAGTCGAAAAGAGTAGCCTAATGCCCGAGCAAAATTTGGAGTTAAAAATCTACGCAAAGTATTTCAAGATCCACGCCGGTGCTAAGAGCCAGTTCACTGTGCTGAGCTTCTATGGATTCAGACTTGAGTTAGAAGAGGAACGGAACACTTATGGGTTACACCCGTGTGCCATGATGTTGGGCTGTTGTTTGAAACATCCAAACTTCAAATGACGCTATTTAGAGAGTATGGCAAGCCTTTCTCCCTTCGAGGGTCATCATCATCATAAACCACAGCTGCCGTTAAGCGGCGTGGGAAGGAATAATTTAGGATCCAGGGCACTCTGGCTGCCACCACCATTTGTCATGCCATTAAGGCGTAGAGTGTCTGTAATGTTGTCAATCCATATTTTCGCTGCCATCCTCTTGTTCTTATAACTGATCTTCTAAGATGTAGTGCTTGTCATGATATTTTATCTTTCTGCATTCTAACGAGATGGCCAAAACACTTGATCTGCTGTTTCTCGATGAATCTAACACAACATGTGGCTCCCACAATTTGTCTGACACGAGAAGTATCGTTATCCACTCGATCTCGGATGGTTAGTTTGGCAGCATTTCTCAATCGGTTAACTATTTTATTTGCAGTTGTAAACAAATATTCATATTTCGCCAGGCATGGAGTTTTTCCGGCAACTTGTCCATCTATGGATTTTGTCCTGGTGCTGCCGGGTGGAAAGCTACTGGCACGATGGCAGAGATCCCCAGGCAGCCTTCAGCCTCTTCAACTGGTCGTTCCATTTTGGCAAGCATGTCAGAGGACTGATGACGAACAGTAGTGGCGACTATGAGAAACATCGTGGTGAGTCAGTTGCCTGTACCAAGTGATTCAAGAGCTCAGGATGTAAGGGGCCTAAGCCTCTTTTTAGCTCGGCTCAGCTCCCTCTTTTACCCAATCTATGCAAAGGGATAAAGTTGCCCCACCCCCCTACTGCTTTTCCCCAAATCTCGATATTATTCCCCAAACTTGCATGTTCTTTTTTGAAACCGTTTTTTTTTCTTGTGTGCTTGTCGAAAGTGGGTCGGCCATGTTTTAACTTTCATATGATGTCACCTTGCTTCCTAGAAATGACCTTGGCTTCCAGGTGGAACCAGCCTTGAGTGGGTACCGGCTGCAGTCCCAGGAAGTAAAGGCGGCTGGCGTGATGCTGACCACATCACGCATCTTGTGCTGATCGGTCTATAAAAATATAATTCTAGCCCTCTATGCCCTATGCCCCTAAAGGCGTGAAAGAAAGTCCTTTACTTTTACTTACTTACTTTTGATGTCACCGTGTTCGTCTGCACTGGGAAGTCCTGTGCTTAACACTTTTCACATCCTTGACAATAATATTGACAGCTTAACACAAGCAACAGCTGTACGCAGAAATTGGATGTGTCGACCAAAAGGCGCAAATTTGGCAGCCCTGTTGTAAACGGGCACAACGCATTGGCGTCTTCGGGTTAATGCAGAAGAAGAAGATATTGACAAGATGCCCGACACTAACGTGGTTACTGCAATTTCTATCACAATATTGAGGTTTCTATTCAAAGCGCTTTCGCACAGATGGTAATATTTTAAACACATTATTATATTTTTTTTATGCTATTCAAATTGAACACTGATTGAACCGATTGTGCTATATGATTCTAAAACTCACCGAACAACTAAATGATACCAAATCTTAGTACAATCATTTGACAAAAAAAGTCTTTGGAAGAATTTATGGATCCACCCTGGAAGTACACGGTGGAGAATGGAGTGGGAACTGCACTGAAATTCTTAACTTGTATGTAAGTTAAATAAGTTCCAGTGGACCAAGAGGTGAAGAAAAGACGTCGATAAAAATCTGAGATAAATTTAACTAGAATGTCTTTGCAATGAAACTCACAGGGGGCATAGAAACAAAGAAGGGGACACACACACACACACACACACACACACACTCACACACACACACACACACACACACGCACGCACGCACGCACGCACGCACGCACGCACACACACACACACAAACATTTGAAGATGGGAGCTAGAGAGTCAAGTTAAAAAGGATGGGGAGAAGACTGGATAGCTGCTTGCGATAGCCAAGGATAGAACGACTTGGCGAGAGTTGTTTGAGGGCCTTTGGTCCAATGATGAGGGAAGGGGGGGGGGTCTAGAAAGACCGGTGAAAAAGAAAGAAAACTCACGACTAAACACTAGCTTCATGAGACCTAATAGATCTAATATTTGGGGATAACAACGAAAATGAAAATGCGTACATGTATGTTGTTTTAGTATCCAGAAGCCATGAGTTGTTAACCCTTAGACTCGGTATTATGGATATCGCAACCTTTCGGCTTTGGTTCCATTATAAATACCGTAAATCTGGGAGTAATGTGGCTTTCCTGCCTACCCACGGAATTGAACCCGAACCACAAGTAGTTCGTCAACCGGTTTAGCCAACTACGCTAGAGAGCCAGGCCAAAAATGCGTACATAAAAAAAAAATGAGTAGACTTTGGGGCATACGAAGAAGATAAGAAAGATAACGTATTTTCCGGTCTACGTGCACCTTGAGTCACCAGCTGAAGATAGAAGGACAATCAGAGGTATATTATTATTAAACCTTAAACAAGGTTTATTTCTCTTGAGCCCATTCTTGTAAAATGTATAAGTGGTTGGGTTTGGGTTTTTCTGGTATCGAGTTTCCCAGCTGAATACGATGTAGAGCAAAATCAGCATCGCAGTTGAGGTCAATATTCACAAATCACTGGTATTGTCTATTTTCTTATACGGGTGTGATAATTGGACTCTCACTGTGGAATTTGAAAAGAGGGTTTAGGCTTTAGAATATAAATGCTTTTGAAGAATTTTACGAAAAAAACCATTAAGATTTGAAAAACAAAAACAAAAAAAAACTAGGATCCGGGATTTGGAAATAAAATGCTAAAGAAAAATAGTACTAACTAACCATTTAGATTTTTTTTTTTAAGTTACACACACAATGATAAACTTTTTTGGCAAGGTAACTTCGAGTTTGATTCGGCTAATGATACACTTCACACATTTTTCGCGTGCGGATGTGCAGAACGCACCAGTAGGAGTGAGCAAATAAGACGCAAACAATACGTAACGTTGTGAAGGTATTGTTGTCAAAGGCAGTCGATGTTTATAGTCCGAAGGAGACGGACGTGTGATCCTTGAGGACGCTTTTACCCCGGGATCCCACGGAAGCAAACGTTATATAAAGTTGGATCCTTGAGGACGTTTTACATGCCTTTTGTTACATTGCGACAACCCCTAGTCACTTTTACACTCGTTACAATGAAGCTCCGCACGTCACAGGAGGTAGTCGAAGAAAGGTTTTTGGGTGGGGGGGGGGGGGGGGGGAGGAGTGAGGGATGTAAAAAGAATCTAGAATAACAACATCAAGAAAAGGAATGGAATGAGCAGAAGATGAAGAAACATGTCAGGTTTTGTGTGTGTGTGTGGGGGGGGGGGAGGGGAGAGGGGGGGAGGGGTTGCTAGTGCTTCCATCAATACACCTGCACGACCCTAATGGGTCAATAGTTGTGTTAGTTTGCTACTTGTTCGACGAAAAGTTTATGTTTGATATTAAAGATGTGAGCCGTCCTGGTCTAGCGATCCTGACATAAGCCGGACTTTTTTCAAAAAATGACCTCGACTCCCAGGTCGACCCAGCTTTGAGTGGGTACCAGGTACAGTCCTGGAAAGTAAAGGCGGCTGGCGTCATGCCGACCACCTCAGCCACCAAGTGCCGTTTGGTCTATAAAATACAGGTCTAGTTCTATCTCCCTTTTTAAAAAAATATGTTATTGTAAGTGATGATATCAGAGATAATCACATAAATGAGTATCATACTAATAACTGATAAATATCCCTTTTTAATGAATATCATACTAATAACTGATAAATATCCTTTCTTAATATCACACTAACAACTGATAAATATCCTTTCTTAATGAGTATCACACTAACAACTGATAAATATCCTTTCTTAATGAGTATCACACTAACAACTGATAAATATCCCTTTTAATGAGTATCATACTAATAACTGATAAATATCCTTTCTTAATGAGTATCATACTAAAAACTGATAAATATCTTCTCTTAATGAGTATCATACTAATTACTGATACATATTGTTTCTTAATGATTATCACACTAATAAATGATAAATATCCTTTCTTAATGAGTATCACACTAACAACGGATAAATATACTTTCCTAATTAGTATCATACTAATAACTAATAAATATCCTTTCTTAATGAGTATCATACTTTTAGCTGATAAATATCCTTTCTTAATGAGTATCATACTTATAGCTGATAAATATCCTTTCTTAATGAGTATCATACTTATAGCTGATAAATATCCTTTCTTAATGAGTGTCATACTAATAACTGATAAATATCCTTTCTTAATGAGTATCATACTTATAGCTGATAAATATCCTTTCTTAATGAGTATCATACTTATAGCTGATAAATATCCTTTCTTAATGAGTATCATACTTATAGCTGATAAATATCTTTTCTTAATGAGTATCATACTTATAGCTGATAAATATCCTTTCTTAATGAGTATCATACTTATAGCTGATAAATATCCTTTCTTAATGAGTATCATACTTATAGCTGATAAATATCCTTTTTTAATGAGTGTCATACTAATAACTTATAAATATCCTTTCTTAATGAGTATCATACTTTTAGCTGATAAATATCCTTTCTTAATGAGTGTCATACTTATAGCTGATAAATATCCTTTCTTAATGAGTGTCATACTAATAACTGATAAATATCCTTTCTTAATGAGTATCATACTTATAGCTGATAAATATCCTTTCTTAATGAGTATCATACTTATAGCTGATAAATATCCTTTCTTAATGAGTATCATACTTATAGCTGATAAATATCCTTTCTTAATGAGTATCATACTTATAGCTGATAAATATCCTTTCTTAATATCATTCTTATAGCTGATAAATATCCTTTTTCAATGAGTATCATACTTATAGCTGATAAATATCCTTTCTTAATATCATACTTATAGCTGATAAATATCCTTTTTCAATGTGTATAATACTTATAGCTGATAAATATCCTTTCTTAATATCATACTTACAGCTGATAAATATCCTTTCTTAATGAGTATCATACTTTTTGCTGATAAATATCCTTTCTTAATATCACACTTATAGCTGATAAATATCCTTTTTCAATGTGTATAATACTTATAGCTGATAAATATTCTTTCTTCCTACTGGACAAAACCCTACCGTGATCCCACCTAGTGACTGAGTGTCCACCACTGGTCATCTTTGTTCTGGACGGCTCGGACAGTGTATCGCCAAACAACTACCGTATGGCTAAGACTAGTCTGACCAGAGAGATCCAGTCGCTGACCCAAACATTTGCCGACACCGACATGGGAGTGATTCTCTTCAGGTAAGCCTCTACTCTTGTCTTCTTCTGGGTACGACCTTAAGAGGGCGGTTGGGACTTTGTGTTGTGGTTTACAGCTAGGCTGCGATACATGCAGATGCCTCTAATTAGTCGCCTTTTACAACGCCTGTGTTAGAGAGTAAGTAGATAAGCAAGTATCTTCTTCTGGGTACGACCTTAAGAAGGCGGTTGGGACTTTGTGTTGTGGTTTACAGCTAGGCTGCGATACATGCAGATGCCTCTAATTAGTCGCCTTTTACAACGCCTGTGTTAAAGAGTAAGTAGATAAGCAAGTATATTCTACCCCACCAGGACCGTCACACAAAGCAATAAACACCCGGTGACACAACGAAGGAAACACCACTAATATGTCGCCTATTACGACATGTATGTTAAAGGAAAGTAGTTTCCTTGCTGGTGCTGAACCATAGAATTATAATGCTGTATATTTTTTAAAATTTTTATTTTTTATTTTTTGCATTTATTTGGCTATCTTCCTTTTCAGTTCTGTTGACAGCCTCCATGTTAATATTCATATTATTATTATTATTATTATTATTATTATTATTATTATTATTATTATTATTATTAATATTTTAGTTGCGTATCTTTACGGGACGTTGCACAACCAACCCCAACATTTTTTTTTTGGGGGGGGGGGATGGGGGGGGGGGGGGGGGGGGGGGGCTGTTGTTGTTTTTTTTTTTCTATACTAGGCACATCGAACCCGGTACTCCGGAATTACAAAGCGCAACGCCACATATTTTGATAGCCTATGTATTCGAAGTGTGTGACATTCATTTTCTTGATCATTTGTTATTTTGGGATGATATGTCTATTCTCCATTGGGTGGGGGGTGGGAAGGGGGAGAAGTAGAAAAGGTAAAGGCAGATTTTGTGACAGGAAAAAGATGAAGAAGAAGAGAAGAAGAAAAATAATAAGAAGAAGAATACAAGGAGGAGACGACGAAGAAGAAGTAGGGAAAAAAGTGGGAGGAGGCGAAAAAAAATGTGAGGAAGAGAATGACCTTGACGATGATAATATGATGATGTTAGTGGTAGTGGTGATAACAGCTGTAGTGATGATAATGATGATGGTATTAATAAAGATGTTGCTAGTCGTGATGATGATGATGATAAGAATGATGATTGTGATGATAACGATGATAATAGCGATGATGATTACCATAAGATGATGATAATGATGAAGATGGTGTTTATTACGACAAAGGGAATAAGCAGTAACAGGGAGAGGTTATTGAATGTAATATCTATGTATTTTCTGCATGGATCGTTCATGCATATCTAATTACCCAGTAAAATCCAGTCAGTCTGTAATCGCACAGTAATAGTTGCTATGATGTTGTCCACAGTGACGTCATCCAAGATCTTCCGCTTGGACAACGCGAAGGGTCACAGGTCAGTGACCTTATAAGACAAGTACAGAGCCTGAGACAACCGCGAAAGAAAACATCTTTAGCTGCAGCTCTGAAGCGGGCTAGGTAAGAGATCTGCTATCTTATCCATGTGTCTTCTTTGACTGCATTGGACTGGCTGGTTGAATGTTGAACGTTGAATTAGGAATCGACATCCCAGCACTCTGAACACCCCCCCCCCCCCCCTGTTACGTGCGGAACTTCATTGTAACGAGTGTAAAAGTGACTAGGGGTGTCGCAATGTATTAAATGGCATCAACACTTAACATGCCACTGGCCAAGAGTAACAGAACATGATGAATGCTGAAGCTTCCAACGTAGTAGAACAAGAACTCTCTTTAAAAGTTCCATTTGTGTATTGACAAATGCAATGATCAATTTCAAGAATACATATGCAAGTAATAATCAACTCGTTCAACCAAAGCTCGCTCGTACATCCATGTAATGATATGTCCTCACGATAGGTCGCAGTCCGACCTTGAGATCATGACAATCATCTTGGTCCTCGGACAAGTCCGAATTAAGCAATGAAAGTATACCGGCATACTGCCGAAAATGTAACGTTTACCAGCTTCCTGCTGAGGTCTTGGAGTCCCGGGGTAAAACGTCCTCAAGGATCCAACTTCAACTTTATATAACGTTTGCTTCCGTGGGATCCCGGGGTAAAGCGTCCTCAAGGATCCACACGTCCGTCTCCTTCGGACTATAAACATCAACTGCTTTTGACAACAATAACATAACAACGTTACGTATTGTTTTGACGTCTTATTTGCTCACTCCGTACCGGTGCGTTCTGGTGCACATTCGCACGCGACAGCTTTTCCCCCCTCCCGAGGACGACCGAGCACTAGGACTTGTCCCCCCCCCCCTCCCCCACCCTCTAAGCGCCCTGTCACCATCTTCAGTTGCAAGCAAAGAGTTAAAATTCCAATGGTACCAGTAACTGTCTGATTGTATATCCGTCTCGCCTTTTCTCTGAGTGTCGAGCGTCGGCCATATCCCTTTGTAACTCTTCGCAGTGCCATTCTCTTCAGACCGTAATGATCTGTCTGTTCCTCGGCACTGTTCACTCGCTCCCAAAGGGCCCTAACAACATCCAGCTTGTCATACATCAGTTCACCACCAAATGGTGCAGAACCGACCAGTCTATCTGCCTGCTCATTTCCCAACACACCAGCATCACCTGAAGAGAATATCCAAAGGATGCTAACTACCCGGGACCTTTGCTTGCCACTCTGCACGGATCATGCTTGTCTCCACCTTTCAACGTGCTCTGTGAGTCAGTTACAATCACGGCATGACTGCAGGTTGTATCTGGCTGGTGTAGTATACATATAAACAAACAGACAATGTATGGATTGGCACTCATAGAAAGAAGTAGACAGATAGAATTACACACTAGGAAACACAGCAATCGAAAGCTATAGTTTTATTGTTTTACAGATCTGACTCATTTGTTTGCAGACTGCTGGTTCCTTGCCTCTCAGGCAGATGCAGTCCGATTTCCAAGAAAGCTCCCAATTAGTCGACTCTTACGACATGCTTTTGTGTAGGCAGTTGATCTATTCTGAAATCTGAGATAATTAAATTTATGTAGGTGCGTGTTTGGCTGTGGTATTTCTGGGACAGGACTGCAGTCAAAAGTGGATGAACAACCAGAACTTTCCGCCAGAGTTTACAGCTGGTGAAAGCAAAGAAGAAGAAGAAGAAGAAGAAGAAGAAGAAGAAGAAGAAGAAGAAGAAGAAGAAGAAGAAGAAGAAGAAGAAGAAGAAGAAGAAGAAGAAGAAGAAGAAGAAGAAGAAGAAGAAGAAGAAGAAGAAGAAGAAGAAGAAGAAGAAGAAGAAGAAGAAGAAGAAGAAGAAGAAGAAGAAGAAGAAGAAGAAGAAGAAGAAGAAAAAGAAAAAGAAGAAGTAGAAGTAGAAGCACGTTTTAGGAAAATTTGGATTGGGTAATAGAAATGAAACAGGAGAAAAATTGATTGAATTTTGCATAGAAAATGAATTAACAATAGCTAACACACTTTATAAACAACACCCTAGAAGGCTTTTCACATGGACATCTCCTGACGGTGTTACCAAAAATCAGATAGATTACATTTTAATACAAAGAAGATGGAGATCGAGCATAACATCTGCAAAAACCCTGCGAAGTGCAGATTGCGATACAGATCATCAGTTACTAGAAGCAGATCTAAAATTAAAACTCAAAAAGCTTACCCGAGGACCAAGGCCATTTCGATTTGATCTCACAAAAATACCAGATGCATACAACGTAGAAGTGAAGAACCGTTTTGAGGTCTTGATGTCTGTACAAGAGGAAATGACACCTGATGAACTGGCGGTACAAGCTAGGGATATCTTGATAACAGCAGCTAAAGACTTAATACCCACCAGGACTAAGCAACATAAACCATGGATCACACCATACACGTTAGAACTAATAAAACAACGAAGAGAACTGAAAAAGAAAGGAGAAACCAATGATAGTAGGATGAAGTATAAATTTTTTACACGAGAAATAAGAAAGTACACAAGAAAGGATAAAAATCAGTATGTACAAGATTGCTGTATTAAAATAGAGCAGCATCACAAAAATGGAAGAGATTACGAAATGTTCAAGGAAATGAAGTTATTGACAAGAAATTTTCAACCTCAGTTAAATGTTATTTGTGACAGGTTGGGAAATACTTTAACAGAATCTAGACAAATTCTAGGAAGATGGCAGGAATACTGCAGCGGAATGTATGATATGAATGACAGTGAGGATATGAATGATATACATGAACCAGTAACAGTAGAGGCAGAACCTGAACCTTCATTAGATGAAATTTCATGGGCAATAAGGAGCCTGAAAAATGGTAAATCACCTGGATGTGATGAGATACCAGCTGAATTGATTAAAGCGGGAGGAGAAGAAAGCATAAAAATCTATCATGCATTATGTGAAAAGATATGGAAATATGGTATTTGGCCAAAAGACTGGAAGAGAACTATCTTCATTCCAATACCAAAAAAGGGTGACCTGAAATTATGTACAAACTATCGAACTATTGCCCTGATCAGTCATGCAAGTAAAATTCTACTAAAAATTATAATGAGAAGACTGCAAAAGAAAATGGAAGAAGAGATTAATGTAGCTCAGGCTGGATTTAGACAGGGAAGAGGAACAAGAGATCATATATTCAACATGCGTTTAATAATAGAGAAGTGTAGAGAATTTAATGTAAATCTGTTCTTATGTTTTGTGGATTATTCAAAAGCATTTGACTGTGTACGACATCAGAAGCTTTGGGGAAATCATGAGGAATATGGGCTTTCCATCACATATAGTGCAGCTCATTAAAATGCTCTATCAAGACCAACAAGCAGCAGTCAGAATAGATGGAGAGACATCAGACTGGTTTGGCATCAAGCAAGGAGTCCGTCAGGGATGTGTGCTGTCACCGTATTTGTTCAACCTGTACGCCGAAAATATAATGAGAAATGTAAGAGATGATATAAACAAGGAACAATATGATGCCCTAAACATCGGTGGTCATGAAATACCAGAAATTCGTTATGCTGATGATACAGTATTACTATCAACATCACAAAATGGTTTAGAAAACTTATTAACCTCACTCCAAAGAAATAGTGAAAATCATAACTTATTTCTTAACACAGCAAAAAACAAAGATAATGCATACAAACAAAACTGCCATGGAGAAGGAAATATATGTTAATGAGGAAAGATTGGAAGTGGTGGAAAATTTCGAATATCTTGGGTCACTGGTTACCAACAATGGTGACACAATGAAAGAAATTAAACGGCGACTATCAATTGCTCTTCAAAGACTAAAACAACTGAATAAATTATGGAATTGTACAGATAGAATTACAAAGGTCAGATTTTTTAAGAGCATGCATCTTTCCCATTGCAACATACGCCTGTGAGACCTGGACACTTACTAAACAAGCGGAACAGCGCATAAATGCATTTGAATATAAATGTTACAGACAGGTTCTAAGAATATCTTGGGTAAAGAAAAGAACAAATGCATCCATACTTCAAGAGCTGAATATTGAAGAGGGTTGGCTAGTAAAGACAATAAAACAAAGAAAATTGAAATATTTTGGTCACTTGAAACGTCATGGAGGTCTAGAGAGAACAATAATGGAGGGGTATATGCCTGGGAAGAGAGGAAGAGGAAGGCCAAGGAGAAGATGGGTGCAGGATGTGGCAGATGATCTCCAGATGGGTGTATCAGACGCAGGACATCTTGCTCATGATAGGAAGGTTTTCCGGAGGGTTGTTATGGCAGCGAGGTTCCGCGAGGGACATGCTACTGAATGAATGAATGAATGAGAAGTAGAAGAGGAAAAAGAAGAAGATTACAGTCAGCTCAATAAACTCAAGCAACAAGACGTTCGGCTGTCGTCCAGAATGTCTTGGGTTTAAATTTGCATAGACGCCTCAGACATCCAATTCCAGTCCCATCACTTCCAAATCTACTCGGAAGAGCATTTTTATTTCTGTAACAATTTTACCGATTTGTGTGCGCACCGACCGCACCAAGACAGTGACCAATCTTTTCTTGACCATCAGTTTGTGTAAAAAAAAAATAACAAAACATCATTGCCTTTCGTTTCAAATTTGGTGTATACACAAAAATGGATGTGTCAGTGTTACTTCCGGTGCTGTAGAACAGTGTAGGTAAGTGAAAAGGTGTACACACAAGTCAGGGTGAACAGTTCGGTGAACCTATGGATCATGCTGATATTATTAATGCCCTCAGAGAAATGGGAAGGATAGAGGACTTTGGGGGCAGGGAATCCACATCACTCGCCAGAATGGCAGACTTGGGAATTAAGATCGGTATAGCAAAAAACGAGACGCACACCAGATACACCAGAAGACTTGTTAATCAAGATAGAACTGGTACTATTAGCCATCGGACGTTGGGGTTCATACTGAGGGGAGGATATGAGCACCTATGGACATGTCCGGAGTGCAATGATGATAACCCAACTAACTAACTAACTAACTAACTAACTAACTAACTAACTAACTAACTAACTAACTAACTAACTAACTAACTAACTAACTAACTAACTAAAGTTCGGTCTCGCATAGTTTACCGAACAGTACGCGACATTGCTGTAAAGGGGGCAACGATGATGCATATCTGGCTGTCACCAAAAACACAGGTTACGATGAAGTGGATTGAATTACTTCTTATTATCTGGCTCAGTACCAAAGTGATTTAAAAGGGATCAGCTGGCCTCAAAGACCACACTCGAACAAGATGTCTAATGTGACCTGTTCCAGCAAGCGGAAGGAGTTCACAGACAGCACGACCTTTGTCATTCATTGGGATCTGTCGGTAGGGATGTACAAACGTAGCGACACCGCTCAGTCTACATCAGCAAAGGTCGTAATATCGCTTTGATGGAAAATGCAAGGAAAGATACTACACTCAGAGAAGTGGTCTCAGGTGTTACTGTGAGATTCACGGTAGATAAAGCAGTGGATGGCAACAGAAATAAAGATGTTCCTACTGGCTTGTGTTGCAGCCAAATTAGCAATGGACTCAAAATGAATGAATCCCTCCCCACACGGAGTGTGACATTGTCAAAGCAGTGAAGTGTCAGTAGATATCTCATTTACAATACAGCTGTCTCTAGGAGGGATCATCTTTTAAGATTCAAATTGCCAGTTTCATTAACCAGACACAGTACTGAAATGAGATAGAAGACAGCACTACACAACTTACAGACGATTACACAGTCACTCAGATTATATGAATATTTAAAAGATAGCAATATCAATCAACAACTTGGAGATGATCCCATTTAAGGAGACTGTCTTGGCACTATGAACTTGGGTGTCATTTAAAGGACTCTGTCCTAACGGTTTTGTGACCACTGAGGGGTATCTCTTCCTGCTATATTCCGCCATCTCAAATATTCTAAAAACACAGGTTACGATGAGGTTGATTGAATCACTTCCTATTATTTAGTTCAGAGCCAATGTGAAAGAATAGGGATCAGCCGGGCTCAAAGACCTGGCACTGTCATACTCAGACAGGAATGTTAACCTGTTCCAACAAGAGCAAGTAGTTCACAGACCTTGACCTAGCTACAGAGCACGTGCTCTGTGCTTGACGGCATCTTCAGCTAGCAGCAAAGAGAAGGTGCAGAGGAGAAAAGGAGGAAATGGTGAGGGAAGACAGTAGAGAAATAAAAGGGCAGGAGCCAGGAGATTTAGGCGAAAAACAGAGCGTCTGGGGGTTTGATCATGTAAGAGTGTGCTTTTGGAACTGTCGCAGTGCCAGACAGATAGGGCACATACTAGAGAGGTTGATATACGATTCTTTGGTAGTCAGGAGTTTAATGCAGAAACATATCATTGACCTGTATATGTCAGCTCTGTAAACTCTGTTGAACATGGGAGACATGGGGGATGTCTGCTGGTGAAGGAGGGATTGAAACATGGGGTGCTTGACCTGATTCGTTGGAATCATGCTGCTGTGAACGTGCAGGGAATACAGATGAAGATTGCTGGCCTAAATGTATAATATGCTGCCGTGGGTTCATTAGTTACCAAGCAACAGTGGGACTGTCTGAAACACCTAGAGGAAATCCCTGGCAACAGGTTCCTCATTTATGGGGATTTCAATGCAAGGAACAATGAATGGGGCAGTACTGGGGTAAACTGACAGGGAGTTGCCTTTGCTGATGCTATGATCGACTTCAATTTGTCTGCATTAATGATGGGGTTCCAGAACCCGAGTGTTGCACGCACACCTGTTTAACATATCTGACTTTTTATATGCAGACTATTGGTTCCTTGCCTTTCATGCAGCTGCAGTCTGACTTCGAAGGAAGCCCCCAATTAGTCGACTCTGAGAGTTTGTTGGAGAAGCAGTAGGTTTTTTCTTGGTTTCCCTACAAAGGGACCCAGAACCTACACGGGGAGATTCTTTGCTGTTCCGTGGAATCATTTACCGGTAACATTCTCTACCATTATTCTTTAGTTCTTATGGCTGATTAACTCTGTCATTGTCTTTTTTCTCCCGCCCCATTCCTTATCCATCTCATCTTTCATGTTGTAAATTTACGTTTTGGACCGATTCCCCATTGGCGTGGAAAGCGTCCTTAACTTACACATTTCGTAACTACAACATTTACAGAGAAAGTCTGCTGGAGAACTCACACTCAGAATCTCGTGCATACAACGGTTACAGCAGAGGTCACATCATCGTCTTGTTCTCCGATGGGTTTCCAGACAACTGGAGGGAGACTTTGCAGGTAAAGTTGTGTTGTATGATTGGAGTGAGACCTTACACGCAACACTGAAGTCTGAGTTTTGAACCTGGGGAGAAAGAGTGTAAAAAAATAAATTAGTGGGTGGTAATGTTGTCAGCATTACGCCAAAGAATGTGTATGTATTGTAAATGTTTGAGTTGAATCAATGGTAAAGGGGGCGATGGAGGCTGAAGTAAAGCAAAGAGCTGGCTCCTTCCCAGCCAATGTGAAATAGCTGAAACAACTGCGAGTTTGTTTTAGTATCCAGAAGCCATGAGTTGTTAACCGTTAGGCTCAGTATTATGGATATCGCAACCTTTCGGCCCTGATTCCATTGTAAATACGGTAAATCTGGGAGAAAAATGTGGCTTTCCTGCCTACCCCCGGGAGTGAGCCCGGACCACAAGGAGTTCGTCACGCGGTCACCGCGCAATCATGTTTAGCCGACTACGCTAGAGAGCCGGGCAAACAAATGCGAGACGTAGGATGTACGAGATTGGCATTCTCAGGGGCAGAATGTGACGTCTTTATGGGACAAGTATCAATGTCATTTTGACCTTTCTTTCAGGCCATCAAATTATTCAAATGCACAATATGAGCAAGACATCCGGAACTCTTGATTCCTGGAAGTGAGTCGGTGGGGGAGGAATATGGGTCGGGGGGGGGGGGGGAAGGGGTCCCTCGCACTCAGGAATGCTTTAGAAACGAAAGGGTCGAAACACTCATGTTAAGAGGATTTTTTTCCTGGTGATTTTAATCCGTTTGTTATTCTAACTTTCCCATGATTTGTTTGACTGGAATGAGATTATACTTGGTATTTAAACCCCCTTGTTCTAATTGCCGCTTTAAGTTACTAGCTGAGTTACTTGACTGGAAGGAGATTTTTAGTCTTGATGATTTGAAGCCTCTAAATTTCCCCTGAAATTCTTCCTACATATTTCTGTGACTTGACAAAGGTCTCGAAGAAAGCGTCAATGTTAATGTTATATAACCTGGTGGACATTTAGGGCAACGTTTAAGTTTGTGTTTTAAAATCAGGTGTTTTTTTTTTTTTTTTTTTTTTTTCTCTGCGTTTAGGCAACTATACGCTGTACCTGCACCTTTTCAATTCAATTTCTTTTTTCAGCGCTATTGTAATGTATACTTTGTGGTGAATATCGGCAAGTTTTATTTTAGACATTTGGTGGTTAGAACCGACACATTTCTTCTCTAGATAAATGCTCTGTGTGTAACTGAGGGGAGAAATTACAAGTAACAGTCATAACTAAGTTTAAAACGCAATTTAAGTGAGTCTTTTAGCCAGGTGGTTGGCATGATTACCTACGCACCCAGTGGACAGGTGTTTCAATCTCTGTGAGATTCATAAACTCAAAAATTGTAAACAGTAATCTGACCTTATTATATATGTCCACAAATCCAGTGAAGATCAAAACCTATTCTTGAATTTAAAGGAAGCAAAAAATAATGTACACAGTCAAAAACTGTCTGTAACTCAACAAATAACGTCCACGGACAAAAACTGTCTGTCACTCAACAAATAATGTCCACAGACAAAAAATGTCTGTAACTCAACAAATAACGTCCACGGACAAAAACTGTCTGTCACTCAACAAATAATGTCCACAGACAAAAAATGTCTGTCACTCAACAAATAATGTCCACAGACAAAAAATGTCTGTCACTCAACAAATAACGTCCACAGACAAAAACTGTCTGTCACTCAACAAATAATGTCCACAGACAAAAAATGTCTGTCACTCAACAAATAACGTCCACAGACAAAAACTGTCTGTCACTCAACAAATAACGTCCACGGACAAAAACTGTCTGTCACTCAACAAATAATGTCCACAGACAAAAAACTGTCTGTCACTCAACAAATAATGTCCACAGACAAAAACTGTCTGTCACTCAACAAATAATGTCCACAGACAAAAACTGTCACTCAACAAATAATGTCCACAGACAAAAAACTGTCTGTCTCTCAACAAATAATGTCCACAGACAAAAACTGTCTCTCACTCAACAAATAAATTCCACAGACAAAAACTGTCTCTCACTCAACAAATAATGTCCACAGACAAAAACTGTCTGTCACTCAACAAATAATTTTCACACATAAAAACTGTCTGTCACTCAACAAATAAGGTCCACAGACAAAAACTGTCTGTCACTCAACAAATAATGTCCACAGACAAAAACTGTCTGTCACTCAACAAATAACGTCTACAGACAAAAACTGTCTGTAACTCAACAAATAATGTCCACAACAAAAACTGTCTGTCACTCAACAAATAACGTCCACAGACAAAAACTGTCTGTCACTCAACAAATAATGTCTACAGACAAAAACTGTCACTCAACAAATAATGTCCACAGACAAAAAACTGTCTGTCACTCAACAAATAATGTCCACAGACAAAAACTGTCACTCAACAAATAATGTCCACGGACAAAAAACTGTCTGTCTCTCAACAAATAATGTCCACAGACAAAAACTGTCTGTCTCTCAACAAATAATGTCCACAGACAAAAACTGTCTGTCACTCAACAAATAATGTCTACAGACAAAAACTGTCTGTCACTCAACAAATAATGTCCACCGACAAAAATTGTCTGTCAATCAACAAGTAATGTCCACAGACAAAAAACTGTCACTCAACAAATAATGTCCACAGATAAAAACTGTCTGTCACTCAACAAAGAATGTCCACAGACAAAAAACTGTCTGTCACTCAACAAATAATGTCCACAGACAAAAACTGTCTGTCTTTCAACAAATAATGTCCACAGAAAAAAACTTTCTGTCACTCAACAAATAATGTCCACAGACAAAACCTGTCTGTCACTCAAAAATAATAATAAGAAAAAATAAAATGTTAAACGTCAGAGAGACTGAAAATCTAGGCTGGGTTGTAAAATAAAATGGACACTTTAAACAGATGTCAAAAGCAGGATGGCCAGAGCAATACATATATTAAACTTTTTAAGTCATTTTTGTTTTCAGCGCTATTGTAATGTATACTTTGTGGTGAATATCGGCAAGTTTTATTTTAGACATTTGGTGGTTAGAACCGACACATTTCTTCCCCAGATAAAAGCTCTGTGTGTAACTGGGGAAAAGGGGGGGGGGGGGAGAACTAAAGTGACGTTTACCTCGCCTTCAGGCGTTTGGAGCATACAGGGCTAGACTTATACAGTGGAACCTCGCTTAAAGAGCATAATTCGTTTCAGAATCATACACGTTAAGCTAAACACTCGTTATGCGAAACAATTTTTTTCATATAAATTAATGTAAAATACGATTATGCCTTCAGTGTGGGGAAAAAATTACAAAATGCTATGGATAACATGGAATGCGAATTCCATTTACAGAAAGAACAGACAGAAAGTCGAAATAATTATGATACATAGCTAATTTTTTTTTTTTTACAACAAAGATGTCCAGAGACACTTATTTTTGCCGACGCTTCAAAATTTGGCGATAATTGCGAAACAGCATTATCATTAAATAAATTTTCAACACAGCCACTTCCTTATTAGGATGATGCTTCTCAATATAAGATGCAACAGTTTCCCATGCTTTCATCATTTCTCGTATTTTGCCAGAAGATTGTTGCTTTTTCTGTTACCTCCTCCTCCTCTGACAAACTTTCCTCCAAAACTGTTTGCAATGAAACACAATGCAACTCCATAAGCTCTTCGGTTGTCAACTCTTGGTTGTGCTCTTTCACAAGCTCTTCGATATCACTGTTATCCACCTACAATCCCATGATAGTGGCCAAAGACACAATCTCGTTGACTACAGGTTCCACAGGTACTGTTTCGAACTCCTCAAAGTCACATTCGACAACTCTTTTCGACCAAAGCTTCTTCCAGCCAGAAGTTAGGGTTTTCTTGGTAACCCCTTCCCACTCCTTGTCGATCATCTTGAGGCAGGCAACAATGTGGATGTGATTTTTCCAAAATCTTCGAAAGTGAGGTTGGTCCCTTCAGTCACCTGAAAACAATGCTCGAAAAGTGCTTTAATGTAGAGCTTCTTCAAGTTAGAAATAACTTGCTGGTCCATGGGCTGGAGTAACGGAGTGGTGTTGGGAGGCAGAAACTGGATCTTGATCGACTTAAATTCTTCAAGGAGGTCATCTTGTAGGTCTGAAGGATTTATGTACATATATCACAATATAACACAAGTTTGAGAAAATGTGTGATCACAAGCGACACTACGATGCTACTGGAACGAGTGCTAAACACAGACTAATGTAACGTGCGCACAATCCAGGACTTCCCCTCTCCTCGCCACTCGTTATGCGGAACGTCGCTCCTTAAGCAAGTCATTCTTTTGAAATTTGTTTTTCTCGTTATGCGAAATACTTGTTATGAGAGATGCTCGTTAAGCGAGGTTCTATTGTATTTTATAGACAAGTAGACACTCGTCGGGTGATATGGTCAACATAAGGCTCGTCGATTTTACTTCCAAGGACTTAACCTGGTACCCATGTAAGGCCGGATTGACCTGTAAACCAAGGTCATTTTTTAAGAAAAACATGTCCGGCTCCATCAGACCTTTGGATTCGAAGGCGAGAGCCCAGCCGCTAAACCAGGGCGGCTCCCAGTTAATAGGAAGTTACAATATTTGATTTAATGTTTGTAAACTTTAGGAGGCAAAGTTGGCTCTTGAGGAAGACATCCACATCATCAGTCTCTCCCTGGGCGACTCAAATCATCTCTTGCTTCGGGACATCTCGCACCACGTTCAAGATCACAGACAGGCTATCAACTGGACGTCTCTGGCTGCTTGTCCAGGTAAGTGTGGTAGTCATGTCTATCTCCAAACTTCTGTCTCGAACTTTCAATCACTTCTGACACATATGATCTGCCTTAGTCAAAATCGTATTTAAGCTAGAAGTCATGTTCATCTTCAACCTTCTGCCTCGTATTTCAACACGCGTCTGATGTTTATGATCTTCTAAATCCGAAGCTGTGTGGTGCTGTAGGCATCTCTATCGCCAACTTTCTGTCTCGCACTTTCAATCACTGCTGACACATATGATCTGTCGTAATCAAAATCATCATCAACCAGAGTGTGTAACCAGATGGTCTGGCCGGCTCACTACACTCAGAGGAAAGGCAAGACGGGCTTTTAACCACATTGTGACTGGTACCATCGGTATTGGAACTTTGCAATGTCTGCTAACGATGAGGACGGAGCATGGATGGGAACGTCCCGAGTGCTGTGATGTCAATTCTTGACTCAACTCAACTCAACTCATCCTCTGTCTTCTGCTTCGTATTTCGAAACAGTTCTGATGTATATGATTTTCTAAAGTCCATGTTGTGTGGTGCTGTAGTCATCTCTATTCCTAACCTTCTGTTTCGTACTTTCAATTAGTTCTGATACATATAATCCTCCATAGACTATGCCATATGGCGCTGGTAGACATATCTATCCCCAACCCTCTGTCTCGTATGCATTCAATCATTTCTACCACGTATGATCTTCTGTACCTTGTGGCGTGGCTCATCACCATCAAGTACCTTTCTGACTGGCGTGGGCGATCATACCTCTCCACGATCTGTGATCTATGTGTGCATGTATCAGTTCATGTGTTGATACAACTCCATGCCGTTACACGAGGCAATCAAGAATCTTCTCGCGCTAGCTTCCTTTGTCTCTATTTTCCCATATCTTTCCAGTTGTCACAACGTGAACCAGTTTCCTTCTTCTCGCCACATGACCAAAAAGGGATGACTGCCTTTTTCTGATGTTTGTGATAGGTTGTCTTCAAGCCCTAGTCTCTTTCAAAACATATGGATTGCCCCTGTTGGCCCTCCAAGGAATTCTGAGGATTCTTCTGTAAAACCATATCTACGACACCTCAAGAAATAGTTTGGCTTGTTTATTAAATGTGCAAGATGCACAGCCATTTGATCTTCCATAGTCCATGCCTCTTGAAGCTGGATGCCATGTCCATCCTCAACCTTCTGCCTGGCATTTCCAATCAATTCTGACACATATGAACTTCCATAACCCATGACGTGTGGGCCAGAAGTCAGGCCTGTCAACAACCTGCTGCCTAGTATACTTTCAATCAGTTCTGACACAAATGATATTCCATAACATGTGGGGCTGGTAGTAATGTTCCTCAACATTCCGTATCTAGTACTTTCAATCAATTCTGACACAGGTGATCTCCCATACCTTGATGTCAGACCGTCTAGTATTGTCTTTCACGGTCTCATCTGCCTCTTTTCCGCTCCAAATTTCCCCCTTTCAGGATGTTTTGCAGTTTAATCCTTCTCCTGACATTACCAAATCATGTAGATCATCTCATTTTGATGTGGGCAATGAATGTCAGTTTCTTTCAAAATGCCCTTGTGATTGTGGATAAAGTTATGAAAAGTTTGTTGTTGTTTTTTTTTTTTTAGTTTTTTTGTTTTTTTTCAATTGAAGCTTCGGCATCACTGCAGACGGATTTCAAGCAATGACTTACTACAGTATCCGCTCAGGTGATTTTCAGATTTTTCTATGCTCTGTTGAGATATAGAAGCTTCGCATGGTCGCTGATTGCAAACTTGAATAGACGCTGCTTAGTGCAAAACAGCCTGACGTGTGATGCCACAACATCTAGTTTGAGAATGGAGATCGAGGCGGTCACCGTAGTTCTCCGCCGGCTTGATAACATTGAGTCCTTTTTGACATTTTAATGCAACTACCTGCACATTTCCTTAAGGTTACCTACCGCAGCTGCATAGTGAAGGTAAATTCATACAGCTTATAAACTATTCAATATTGATCTTATTGAGTACTTGTTAACTCCAGTAAGTAGCACGTTGTTAAACGTTTTTTTACAATAGCATTTTCCATATTTTGATTATTTCAGCCCGAGTTTTGAATCCAGTTCCAAGGGGATCACGTGAGTTTACATACATTTTATTTTTTATGTGTCTGTGGCAGTTGTAGGAGTTGTATATTGATTTGTGAGAATTGTGTTATCTTTCTTGTGTTTCACGATTATCTAGTGTAATAATCGTCTCTACTAATAATCTATACATTTTATAATTTGCTTTTCCCCCCTCCTCTTTCTCCTTTCGCTTCTCTTCCTCCTCCTCCTCCTCTTCTTCTTCTTCTTCTTCTTCTTCTTCTTCTTCTTCTTCTTCTTCTTCTTCTTCTTCTTCTTCTTCTTCTTCTTTTTCTTTTTCTTTTTCTTCTTCTGCTGCTGCTGCTGCTTTCTTCTTCTTCTTCTTTAACTTCTCCTCCTCATCCGTTTTTTTTTCTTTTTTTGTTGTCTTTAGTTCCTATACCTCCTCTTCCTTCTCCTCGTTCTTCCTCTTCCCATCCTTGTTTGTCTTTACTTCCTCTTCTGCTGCTGCATGTGTTGCTAGAGTTACAAGCTTCTGTTTCTCGTTTTTCTGCCTGTCTTGAAATTAAAAACTTCTTACTGTTAAAGAATATCTCTAAGACTATCGTTCCTTCCTATTCGTGGTGTCCCTTGAGACTGTACATCTTTCTCCGACTGATAAGTATATTGTGTGGCTGCTGCGCAAGACCGTTGTGGTTGGCGTACGTCCGTCAGGCATGGTACATCGGCCTGCCAGGCAGTGGAGGTAGCACAGGCAGAGAAACGGAGGCAGGCAAGAAAGAAGAGTATCGCTAATTCCACACTTACTGCGGCTTCCATCTGTTGTCTGCACTGCTCAAGAACTCATATTGGACTAATAAGCCACCCTTGTACTCATAATATTTGATCATTACTGCTTTGTATGAAAGTGGTCTTCATCAAACGCGATGGACGAACAACCTGTACATTGTGCGTTATGGTATAACAGGGGTTTCACTACATAATTACGCAAACCACTGTGTTTGATGTCTGGCAACAGAATGTGAATTACTTTGGTGTGCCACTGTAAAACTTATCTCTGAGTGGACAAACGAAGTATGTGATGTCTTTATTTATATGCGATTCAAAAGAAAGAAAGAAAAAGAAAAAACGCATAGCTACTGAATCGAGCTTAATATGGTTGAAATGTTTACCCTCAAAATCTGCCCAAGAATGCCTCAGATTTCCACCCATCAGCTAACATTTCTTTTGCATCCGAGTCGAATTTCGGGCACAGGGTCTTTCCCATCAACCAATTTAAAAAATATAAATATTTAAAAAAAAAATATGCGTCATTTGACAATTATGCCCCTTGAACAGTAAAGTTTAGAAATGGTTCTATGGCGACTTTTCTTCTTCTGTTGTAACTAACATCGTCTTTGAGCGAAGAAGACACAAAGAATAGACTGCACATTTATTGCCTTGCATATTCCGCCGTGTCTCGTCAGGTGCATACTATAGTAACAATTAAACAAGCAAAGCAAATCAGTGAATAATTTATAACTGTTTTACAAATTCAACCGCTCTCAAAAGCAACTGTCTGTTTTACCAGGTCAATCGCATGATCACTACCATGTCCTTCTGTTTACAAAGTTCTGGAAAGACGTAACGAATAATGGCGACTTCGAGAAAGCGTAGCCCTTTGCCATTTATTTGTTTCTTTGTTTAAATATACAAGCCAATGTGTCTGAAATGTCTGACAGTGTCCCTCTGTCAATTGCGAAAAGTCCAACGTGTGCCCGATGAACCAACCGTAAGCTTGTCACTTGGTCGTTAAGTTAGCCGGCTGATCTAACGGGCTACCACAGCGACAATAATTATTGTTAACTTCAAACCTCACAGTTCCCTTTGAATAGTCACCATTGTCGTCTTGTCCCTGTCCGAGAAGATCCGGTAAAGTGCAGCAGGGGAAGATCGACGCCTGGGAGTCATGACCCAGGTCGGCCCACCCTCTGAAGTTTTCTAGGTGGTAATAGTTAATAAAGGTTAGTTGCGTATCCTTTACGGGACGTTGCAGAACCAACCCTAACAGCCTCTAGCTGTTGTGTGGTTTTTCTAGGCAAATTTACGTCCAGTAGTTTGCCATTGCCTCTGGACGGTCGGCTTTTTTGATACCGCTGTCGAAACCAACGCAAGGCGCATGGCAGCAACTGGGATCGAACACGGCTTCCCGGCATTACGAAGCGTTCGCATCGACTTAGCCACAGAGCCGACAGGAGGTAATAGGCAGAAACAATTGTTGATAAGGGATTTTCTACTGATAAACGGTGGACTTATGTTGTACTTGTCCCCTGTAGAGTTCTTCTTATTACAACGGGGAAATATTGCTTTAAGAATGTACTAGAAATGCTTTGTCCCTCAGAGTGCAGAGATTTTCTTCTTGTTGTGGATGGCTCTGATAGCGTCCTGCGTCACAAGGAGACCGTCAGACAATACCTGGCCTACACAGCACTTCGTTACAGGTTCGTTAACAACTCTATTGGAGTCACCGTGTATGGAACAGACCCTGATGTCCAAGCTTCAAACACACGGATCCGAGTAAGTGAGAATCGTTGTATACTTCTGTTGAATGTTGAATTAGGAATCGACATCACAGCACTCGGGACATCCCCATAACGGCTCCGTCCCCATCTTCAGCAGCAAGCGAAGAGTTAAAATTCCAATGGTACCAGTAACTGTCTGATTGTATATCCTTCTCGCCTTTCCCCTGAGTGTTGAGCGTAGGTCAGATTCCGTTATAACTCCTCGCACTGCCATTTTGCTCGGACCGTAATGATCTATCTGTTCCTCGGTACTTCTTCTAGCAGGGAAGGGGCGAGACAATCAGACTGTTATTTGTACCATGGGAATTATAACTCTGCACTTACTGCTGAAGATGGGGATAGAGCGCTTATGGTCCCGAGTGCTGTGATTTCAATTCTCAACACAAACTTATTCTTTAAGGAAATAGCTGCGGTGTAGCGGCTAAACGCTTGCCTGTGCGCTCGAAGGTCGTGATACCAAGTCTGAACCGAGTGGATTTTCTTTCTATTTTTTCTTCCTTTTTTATCAATAAATGATCTTGGAAGGGCGGGGGGCTGCGAGGTCTCGAGGCATGGTGTCCGCCTCGCGTCTTAGAGGTTGCGGATTCAATACCGGGGATTTTTTCTAGTATTTGCCCTGGTCACTGGGTAGTGAGATCGAACGCCCGTGTGCATTGCTGAGCATGTAAAAAAAATCCTTTGGCAGCTGGAGATCGAAAAGAGTAGCCTAATGGCGCCGCCTGGACAAAATTTGGAAAAACTGAGCACTTATGGGTTACTTCCCGTACGCTATGATGTTGATCTGTTGTTCAAACTTCAAACTTGCACAAACTAAAATGGGTACCTGGGAAAAGTCATAAGAAATAAAGGTGACCGAGTACCGATTGGTCTAAAAACTATAGATCTAAAAGTACCTACTCAAAACGCTCTAGGGGTGGGGAGCCTGGGTGTAATCAGAGGGTCTGGCCGACTCACTTCACTCAGAGGAAAGGCAAGACGAACATATAACCAGATTGTGAACTGGTAACATCAGTATTGGAACTCTTCGCTGGCTGCTGAAGATGAGGACGGGGCAACCTTCTGCATCGTGTATTTTCAGTCAGCTCTGACACAGATGATATTCCATGTCACGATGTCAAACTGTCCAGCATCTGTTCTCTCCGTCTCCCTCTGCCTCTCCTCCCCTCCAACGTTCCTACCGTCATGATGTACTCCAGTTATCTCCTGGTCATCACATGACCAAAGAATGTAGATTGTCTCTTTCTGATGTGGGCAATCAGTTCTCTTGGTGAGTCAGTTTCTTTCAAGACATCTTCATTACTCTTTTTATATGTCCTGGGTATTCTCATCATTCGTCTATAAAACCACATCTTTGCAACTTCCAAATAAGTTTTCACAAGTTTACTAACTGTCCATGATTGACACCCATATTCTTTATCCGTTAGATTAGAGACATCAACATAAAGGTTATAGTCGAGGGGATCACGTTCATTAACTAGTTTTTCAATCCCATATGTGCCTCTCTTAGCAGAACGGCTAGCAGCCTGCCAAAAGAGTCGCACAAGGCACGAACTCTGTAGCTCCGCTATTTCCAAGGCTGCAATTTTGAAATTAACGGCAGGGACGTGGATCAAATCTGCGACCTTCAGAGCGCAAGGCAAAAACGAATTGACCACTTCGTCATGGAGACCACCCGAGCCAGGAGCATCTTCCTTAGAGTTCTGGTTGTTCGTCCACTTCTGGACTTTGGTCTTGTTCCGGAGCTTGAATGTCGCGTGCATATTTGTCTGTTTTTTTTTTTTTTTTTTTTCAGATATAGCAAATTGACGTAGAGGCGTGAAAAGGATCCTTTGCTAATTTTTTTCCGAGCGCCCTCAAACCTAATTTGTTTTTTTTTCCAGCTAGGTCTAACATATGCAGACTGTTGGTTTCTTGTATCTGAGGCAGGTACACTCTGATTTCGAAGCAGACACCCCTAATTAGTTACCTTTTACACTTCAGTGGCTTGTTAAAAGGCAATAGATGTTTTCAGTTTCCCCCAAATCTGTGCTCCCAAAACCTAAAATCAAATAACCGTTTACCCATTTTCTCTACGGTTAGCTGCAGGCAGACAAAAGAAAGCTGGCAGAAGCGATACGTCTGAAGTTGAGATTCCCCACGTCTGGGGGTACAGGAACTGACAAAGCCATCACGCAGTCTCTGACCATGCTCCGTGAAGATGCTAGCGACAGGCAGGCAGCGTTGATTGTCATCACCGACGGACCCAGCCTGGACCCACAGGCTACCAGAGATGTAAGTAATACTATGTCTCCTTGTTGCTTAAAAAAAAAAATCAACTTTGGCTCATTTTGGGGACCATAATTTTTTTTAAAACCCCAAATAAGAAATCTATATTGATTCCTGCAGGAATTTCTACATTTATGTAAATACAGCCATGCGATCTTCTTCTGAAAATCATGATAAATCTTCTAAATCCTGAACATATGCATGACATTCTTGAGCCTGTATATTATGTAGAACCAATGTCTTTAGTCTCTCATGCCCAGCAATAAAACTTTCCTTATGAACCACAACCGTCTATTCAAGTGCGGGAGATAAGGTATCCAATTTTAGAAGAAAGCGTCGCTGAAACTGCATCGGATATGCACTCACAATGGATAAGACCAGACACCCCGCTCTTTTTTGCCAGTCAAGCCCTCATATAGACACCTGAAAGGAAAATAAAACGGAGAAGACCCTGAAACGCAGGGTAGAACCATCATCAGGGAAGGCTCATCCATGGGCCTAACAAACTTCCAAGACCTAAAGTAGGTGGCAACGAACAGTCAGACATGGAGAGTTATCACCTTTTCCCTATGCGCCTTCCTAGGCTCAAGAGGAGAAAAAAATAACTAATTAACTAACAAGTTGAGTCTCTACTCCATTTGGCAACAAGTCTCTTATTTTAGCCGACAACCTTAACTATAGCTTATTTTTAGAAGTAAGGCGTATATTAAAGACACCATAAAGATCCTGCTAAGGATTCATTTTTCAGCTAGGTAGGAGCAACATTGTAGTTAGTTAGTCGACACATCATGTTCCTCACATTGAACTCTTTAGTTTTTAATGCTCAGATCCGCTGTCAACGTGTAACGACTGACTGTCGAAGCCATTTAGGTGTCGCCTCATTTGTCTTCTTCCATTTCCTGCAAAGTTTCTGTGTCCCGCCTAAATCCTGTTTGACCTAATGTTTGTACAGTCCGGCCATGGCTGCAGGTACACAGTCTCCACCTGATACAGAGCAGCCAGATTCAGGATGCACCTATGAGGAAAATGAAATGAAGATTAAGATAGCGATTAAAATATGTTGAAACACTGTCAGTCCTGAAGACCCACTTCCCAACGTGAAAGAAACAGACTATTATATTTGTAGACTTCGTACTGGACACAACAGTCCAACAGTCGGCGTCTGTGGCTGAGGCGTTGCAAACGCGCTTTGTGAGAACGGGGCACCGGGTTCGATCCCAGCTGCCTTGCGTTGGTTTCGACAGTGGTATCGAAAGGCCGACTGTCCAGAAAGCAATTGCAAAATACTGGACGCAAATTTGCGTAGAAAAACCACAGAAGCCAATAAAAATGCTGGGGTTGGTTCCGTAACGTCCTGTAAAGAATACACAACTAACTTTTATCTGGAAACAACATTCTGCAGCCACGTACAAGAACTTCAAGATTCAGGATCCGAGACCTTTTACTATGTGGACAGGCACCACAGAATAACTAAACAGATGCTGCAGTCATGTTCTCTAGACGAGGTAGAGAGATCACAGGTTTGGGCGGTCTGCATTGCAGTGGAAACTTAACTGTATGGAAAACTGGAAGACATGCCTCACACCTCAGCTTTCCTAACAGGCGTATAGCCTTCTTATCGACAAACTAGTGGCATAGAGAACGAAAAGAGAATGAAGAAGAAAACGATTAAATTACTGATTACATAAGGCTTTCCAATAAGTAAATTTAAAGCTTCTTCTTATGCTTCGGTTGTGTATGCCCAGGTCAGACCGTCAGGTGGGCTGCCTCTATGAACGTATCAGTTGCAGGTCCACCATGTTTCCCCACAGCTGGCTCAGCATTCTTAGCTCTTGAGGCCAGGTTCCTCTGCGTATTTAAATGTATAATATAAGTAATGTAGGCAGGTCTGTATAATGTGATCAAGCGTTTGTGGTCCTGTCTAACATGCCCACGGAGGAAACTGTACAGTTTGTGTTTTATGCATGTGGTAGTTGAGCCTGCCATGTCCTGCTCTTAGACAGACAATTGTTGTTTACTCTTTTCTGTTGAGCCTGCTGACGGGGTCTTGTGGGTGTTTACTGTTGGTTTGTTCTCTCCACAGTTACTTGTATTTCCTTTTAATAAGTGATTTGATTTCTGGTAATGATAACGAACGGGTGTGTTGTTTCGTTCCCACCCCCCCCCCCACCCCTTCCAACCCCCTTTTAAAGTTTAAAGTAAAAAAAATAAACATCTTCGTTTCAGTGTATTTTTTATCTTAATTGGTGGGTTATCTCAGGCAGAAACTACAAGACGAGAAAATCACACTATCATGGACTGCCCAGCTCAGATGAAGATGCGGGTTTGTTGTGAATGACCATGTCTGGCACCAGTAGCATACAGTGTGAGTGAAAATGCTTTGTATGAGGTGTTTCGTGAATATGCTTTATAAAAGACGTAAACAAGAGGCTTTGACCACCATAGTGAAGGCGATGTCTCGGTCACTGTTATCAAATCTTGCTGCGGTGTTCAGACCAGCCTCTACTCTTTAGAAGATGGTTTCATTCAAGGTTTTGGCGTTCTCGGTCCTGGAATGATCAATATTCAAAACAGCATTATAAACTCTAATTTATAAACTTGTTAATTGAAAAAATAAAATTTTAAGGTCCCTTTTCCACGCCCTTTTAGTGCATATAGGGCTAAACCTATATTTTTATACCAATATGCACAAGATGGGTGATGTGGTCAGCATCTCGCCGGCCGCCTATACTTCCTGGGACTGCACCCGGTACCCACTCAAGGCTGGGTCGACCTGGGAGTCAAAGTCATTTTTGAAAAAAAGTCAGGCTCCGCCAGGGAGCGAACTCACAACCTTCCGATCCGCACGTGGGCGTCAAGCCGCTCTGCCAGGGAGACTCCAAACTTGTTCATTTATTTAACTTCTTCTCTTTCCTCCCCCCCCCCTCCCCCCCCCCCTCCCACCCTTTTCCCCTCAGTTATGTACTTCTTGATTTCAAGTTGACCTTGGTTTTTATTCCATTTTTTTTTATGTACACTGTTGTTTTTTCCGTTGAGCGTTCCAGTCACAGTTTGAGCTGTATTTAGTGTTCTGTTGATAGAGACTTTGGTCGAAACATTCGGTTGTACTTCTGTGCGTCCTTTCCACTCCCTCCGATGAGCTTTCAAGTCATATTTTATATTGTATTTAGCACCATTTTTTAAGGATGTAAAAGAAAGTAACTCGTCTTAATAACATTTAACACACAGTCGAATACTTCATCCCCAGGCCGTTCAGCGGGCCAGAAGCAGTGGCCACGAAGTTGTTATAATCCGTGTTGGCAATGCTATGCCTGACGAAGAATTGAACTTCATCATTGGAGGTGAGGTGACCGATCTCTTCCACGTGGATAACTTCGTCCAGGTGTTCGCTGTGAGTTTCGATGCCCGCCTGTGTGAAGCTTCAGGTGAGATAAGTTCGGAATATTTAAATTCATCACAGTTAGATGAAGAGACTGGACGGTCACCTGTGGATCGGAGGGTCGTGAATTCAGGTCATGATGGTGCCGAATTTTTCTTTAACAATGACCTTGTCTTCCAGGACAACCCAGCCTTAAATGGACACCAGGTGAAGCCCTGGAAAGTAAAGGCCGTCAGTACAATGCTGGCCACATCACCCACATAGTGCCGATTAGTCTATAAAACATGTGTCTAGCTCTATGTGACCAATACGTATGAAAGTGTGAAAAATGTCCTTTACTTTACCTTACAATTAGATGAAGGAATCTGTCGGCATGAAGGTGCGAATCCGTTTAAAGGCAGGTTTATTTGAAAATGTATCCCAGCTCGAAGGTTGACTGTGCCTGAAATAGGAATCCGGAAGTGGAAATGTTAGGGGTAAAGGGGAAAGGGTGGTCAACATGATGTAGACAACATACTTAATCACTCACTGCCTGGTTTTTCAAAAAAGGGTCTGATAGAATGCATCGAATGCTATAGTGACCTGAGAAGGTTCTTTCACTTTACAAGGTGTCATATATACTACTCTAAGACCGGGCCTAAGCCCGGCTGAAAAAAAAGGAGGAGATTGTGGCTAAACTTTAGTGCTTCGTTCATTTCCGGAAGTAGTGTGTAACCATGAATCAGTTAGACGCCAGGATATAGGCCGCAAGAAGGCACCCCTTCCTTCTTGTAAAAGCACAGCAGCTCAATCGCCTGTTTGCCTTAAACAATGATTATGAACTACCACGGAAATAAAACCTGACAGGTCTAAACGACAACCAACGGACATGGCTTACGGACCACGAAAAACTGCTGAAGGTGACGTCTGGCAATCTGTCTGCGAAACCTCCTTACCTCGGGTAGAAGAGGATTGACTGTTGTTGGTACCTTCGTATCTTTCCAGGCGATAGTGTTATACTGTGTTATGAGTGGGCATGTGTGTAACCAGAGAGCCTAGGCCAACACACTACACTCAGAGGAAAGGCAAGACGGACATCTGACCAGATTGAAACCGGTACCATCAGAATTGGCGCTAGCTGCTGAAGATGGGGATGGAGCATGCATGGGAATGCCACGATGGCTGTGATGTCAAATCTTGACTCAACTCACCTAAACTAAGGGGGCATGAGACTCACAGCCTATGGCGATGGCGAGCGTAAAGAAACAAGACAACCCCAGCGTAAAGAAACAAGACACCCCCAGCGTAAAGAAACAAGACACCCCCAGCGTAAAGAAACAAGACACCCCCAGGGTAAAGAAACAAGACACCCCCAGCGTAAAGAAACAAGACACCCCCAGCGTAAAGAAACAAGACACCCCCAGCGTAAAGAAAAAAAAAACCCCAGCGTAAAGAAACAAGACACCCCCAGCGTAAAGAAACAAGACACCACCAGCGTAAAGAAACAAGACACCCCCCGCGTAAAGAAACAAGACACCCCCCGCGTAAAGAAACAAGACACCCCCCGCGTAAAGAAACAAGACACCCCCCGCGTAAAGAAACAAGACACCCCCAGCGTAAAGAAACAAGACACCCCCAGCGTAAAGAAACAAGACACCCCCAGCGTAAAGAAACAAGACACCCCCAGCGTAAAGAAACGTCTTCCACAATTATGACCGGAATGCCAGGTCCCCATGTTGCCTTAATTTGCATTCGGTGTCTTTCTTCTCCGACGTTCAGCACTCTTCCTTTATGCAATTATTTCATCCTTCATTTTCAATAGCTTCCTGACTTTCTCCCCTCCATGCAACATGGTCCATGGCATTTGTTCTATGAATCCACCGCAATACTTGTATCATTCATGTCCCGCTTGCACACATCTTTATATCGTTGAGTCAGTTGAAGACAGAAAAAAAAAGTCACGTGTTACATTACTAGATGATAGGAGAAATTAATGTACAGAAAATGACTCACTGCCAGCCTCATACGGTAAATGATAATACAAAGTAAAGAACTGTTATTCACCGTTATGCGTATTAGTCATATACGGCCACACCCATATTTTATTGACCAATTGGTACTCCGTGAGTGATGCGGTCAGCATCACGTCGGCCGCCTTTACTTCCCAGAACTTAGGCTACCATAAGTGAAAGCTGGATAGTCCTGTTAGCCAGGGTCGTTTTTTGAAGAGGAAAACAAAAGTCCGGTTCTCGTCAAGACCTGAACCCACGACCTTCCGATCCGCAGGCGAACGTCTCGAGCAAATGATGCTCATGTCATGCTTGTGTACATCAAAGGTCACCTAGAACTACACATAATAACACATAATAAGGACAGAAGATAAAAGGGAACAATGAATACAATAGAATAGTAAATAAAAAACATGCATATAATTCGGTAATTAATAAATAGCAGGAGGATGCTCAGGCAAAGAACATCATCAAACCCATAGCAAGACCAAGAACTGGACCTGGACGGGTGGGAATGGACACTTCTTATTCTTCTGCTTTAGCATTCCGAGCTCCTGAGGTTCTTTGCTGCAGATATCACCCGCCTCTATTCATCTCTCTGGTTGGCCTTCTTCTCCTTCAGCATTCCGAGCTCCTGAGGTTCTTTGCTACAGATATCACCCGCCTCCATTCATCTCTCTGGTTGGCCTTCTTCTTCAGCATTCTGAGCCCTTGAGGATCATTGCTGCAGATATCACCCGCCTCTATTCATCTCTCTGGTTAGCCTTTTTTTTTTTCAGCATTCCGAGCCCTTGAGGTTCATTGCTACAGATATCACCCGCCTCCATTCATCTCTCTGGTTGGCCTTCTTCTTCAGCATTCTGAGCCCTTGAGGTTCACTGCTGCAGATATCACCTGCCTCTATTCATCTCTCTGGTTGACCTTCTTTTTCGGCATTCCGAGCCCCTGAGGTTCATTGCTGCAGATATAACCCGCCTCTATTCATCTCTCTCTCTTTGGCTTTCTTCTTCAGCATTCCGAGACATTGAGGTTCATTGTTGTCAGTCAGGTAGTTCTCGTGAAAAGGACACTATGGTACACAACCCCTGATTTAGCCAACGACAGTTGGCGCCAAAAAAAAATCCAGTCACAATTATAACCCAAAGCTTCTTCTTCGGAAGGACCTGGTTGAACCTGACGATTGCAAAACGAGGGAGGAAGAACCCATGCCCCCAACTGCAGACGGTAAAAGTAGAAGTCGCTTAGTTGAGATTTATCAATCACTGATTCGTTTCGCACTTCACAGTAACCGTGTTTTGTCTAAGACGCAGCACTCACTTTTTTTTATTTCCCACTTCGTGGATATATCGTGTTTCATCCCCGATTTATCAATCACTGATTCCTTTCTCACTTCACAGTAAGGGGTGCTAGGTGGTCTCGAGGCATGGTGTCCGCCTCAAGTGCTAGAGGTTCCGAGTTTGATCCCCGGTAAGGGCTGGGATTTTTTTCACAATGGACTTGTACTTCTAGTCTTTCCCCCTGGTCTCTGGGTAGTGAGATCAGACGCCCGTCTGCATTGTTGCGCACGTAAAAAAATCCTTGGCAGTTGGAAATCAAAAAGAGTAGCCTAACTGCGCCTTCCGTGCAAAATTTGGAGTTAAAAATCTACACAAAGTTTTTCAGGATCCTCGCCGGTGCTACAAAGCCTGTGCTCTGTGCTGAGTTTTTTTCGGACTCACTTGAGTGAGAAGAAAAACGGAGCACTTATGGATTACTACCCGAGTGCCATGATGATCCGTTGTTCAAAAATCTCAAAAACCTCACTTCACATTAAAACGTCTTCCATCTAAAACTCCTCATGCTCTTTTTGTTTCCTCACTTCATAGATATATCTTGTTTCAGCCCCGAATTATCAGTTGCTGATCCATTTCTCACTTCCCATTTACTACTCATTGATTTGTCTCACTTGGCAGTCATATCTTGTACCATCTCAGATTAGGCCCTCGAATTTATATTTACAGACTTATTTATTTCGCACTTCATAAGTCCTGTGTATACCATCTCAGGTTTATCACACACTGTTTTACTTCTTCCGTCACAGACAAGGCATGTGCCATCTCAGATGTATTATCATCTTCATCATCACTATCTTCATCATCACCATCATCATCATTGTTGTCGTCCAACGTGTCGTTGGGTCACCAGTTGCTGTTGACTATCTGACCTGCGTATACCATCTCAGGTTTATCACACACTAGTTTACTGTTTCCGTCATAGACAAGTCATATGCCATCTCAGATATATCATCATCATCTTCATCATCACCATTATCATCATAATCATCATGATCAAAATCATCTTCATCGTCGTCGTCGTCCAGCGTGTCGTTGGGTCAACAGTTGCTGTTGACTGTCTGATCAGCTCCCCCTAACTTTGGCGGTCAGCTGCAATTGCCTTCATCCTTGCATGCCTAAGTCCTGTCCAGTCAGTCAAAATATGTATCCAGGTCTTACTTGGTTTTCCTCTTCTCCTCTTTCCCTCTACTGAGCCCTGTGGTACTCCTTTTTAGAGGCCGTTAGATCTTTTTACATGTCCATGTCATTGCATTTTTCGCCTTTTAACTGTTGTTAAGAGCTTCATAACTGAATGAGATGCAGCAGACCACTAATTTATTGCTTACTCCATAGACAGATAGGTTATATACTATCTCAGATTTATCGGTCACTGATTTACTTCTCACCTCTTTAATAGATTATGAGCCCTTTTGAAAGTCTTAACATACCATCGGATCTGTGGATTTTTATCATGGTATGGGGCGTAGCTGGTCAACCCAGCCTAAAATGATTACCAGGATGGCGGTCCTGGGGAAGTAAAGACGGCAGGCATAATGCTGACCACCTTTCCCACCTAGTGCCAATGGTCTGTAAAAATATGGGCGCTCTTCCCATATACCTGATACGCCTTAAAGACGTGAAAACGGATCTTTACTTTACTTTTACT